GCATGCACACTCTGCACTTGCCTCTCTGTGTGTCTGTGAGTCTTAGTGTGTGTTCCATGGAGCAGTATGTAAGTCCGTGTCCATGTGGATGTGCACAGCGTCTGCCCGTGCCCACGTACAGGGCTGCCTCCTGAGCTGTGCAACTTGGAAGTCCTGCCAGTGTGTTCATAGTAGATGGGTCTGTGTGGCACAAGTAAATGTACATGCCGCACATTCCTGTGACTGTGGAATCACATATGTGTGCAGGGCATGCGAGAGTGGGGTGGGGGTGTGTGTGCACATCTGCGGTGGGATTGGGCAAGGGCCCTTGGCTGTGTGGGCGGGTGGACCCCGTGGAGGCTGTCCTTTGGGCACTACTAGGGGACTACAGATTACTTGGCCCTGGCCGAGAGAGAGAGGGAGCGAGGCCTGGCAGGTCTTGCCCCACTTGGCAGACAGTAAAACCGGGCTTGGCAATGCTGGTGAGGTCACCCACTCTGGGGGTCGGTGGGGGGGGGGTAAGGGAAGATGTCCCCCAGCTTTCCGATTCCCCTAGATGTGGCCGAACAGGAAGGCTGGGCTGTGGGGAGGAAGCTGAGGGGGCCCTTCCCTTCCTGCTTGAGCCCAGCCAGCGCTGCCCTCCCTCAGCTGTAGGTACAGATGAGGACACTGAGGCCCGAAGAGGGGACGGGCTGCTGCAGAGACACCACTCACTGAATCTGCTTCCTCCTGCTCAGGGCTCTGTCCTGCCTGCCTTGCTCACCACACCCTCCTGGACAACCTTGCTCTCTCTATGTGGCCATGTCTCCATGGCCCTTGGCCCTTCCCCCCAAGCCCCAGAAACCCCTTGCTTGACCACACCCACGTGCCAGAGGACCCACAGACCCACCAAGACCCTGCTCATCTGAGAAGGATCCCCTTGAACTGCCATGTGCCCCCTCCACTGGGGATCTTTCTTCAGCCTGGCAGGGTGGGGCCTGACTTCCACCCCCTCAGATTTGAGTATGGGGTTGGTGGGGTACCCTTTTTGCCCTTCCACTGTCCGTATGGGGCCTGTTGGCCTCAGTGTTGTCAACCCTGAAAGGGGAAATGACTCCAGTCATCCTCTGGAACCCGTGTACCGTGGGAAGTGATGGGGGGGGGGGGGGGGGGCATAGGCATGGTGGCTGGAGGGGGACCAGGCAGCAGACAGCGGGATCCTTTGTTACAGGCTGAACCATTGTCCTTCCAGGCCCCCACTCCCCCCTCCTGGGACTAGGCTTCCGCCACCCTTTCCAAGGTCACAGGCCCTGGAGCAGACCGGCGCAGGCTGCATGCTCTACTGGGCCATGATGAGAACCAGGAGTGGGGGCAGGGGGACTTCCTCAAGGTCACACAGAAAGAAATGGTCGCTGGCCATACACATCTGGCCCAAGGGGGTGCGGGGCAGCCTCGGTTTATCCCACTTTCGGTACGTTTCTCGAGCCCACCCAGCGCTGCGCTTGTGCTGGCCTCTGGGATTCGGTGCGGGTGGAGGAGGTCATGGGGTTGCACCCAGGCCCAGAGCGGTCAGAATAGGGGCGGATGCCCGGGAAGGCCCCGCAAGGACGAAGAAGCGAGGCCGCTTCCCGGACACTGCCGGGCGGTCCTGGGAGCCCTTCCTGGGAAGCTAGGCGAGCCTGGGCCTGAGTGAGTGAGAGTGTGTGTGTTTAAGGCGGCGGAGGGGGTCAGGCCCCTACCTCCCACTCCCACTGGGTCCCAGGAGCTTTCGGACCCGGAGGTCTCCAGGGAAGGCCTCAGGACTAGACCTCGGGCGGGGGTGCGGGGGTCGCGTAGATCGCTAGGCGGGTCGGTCGGCTCACGCC